TAGGCTTTTGTCTTATTTATTCATCAGGCAGGCAAGCATAAGTGATCAGTCCCAGTCTGTATACTTCAGTTCTTATGGATAAAGGTCTGTGAGTTTGGCACCTTTTTGTGGTTCTAGCTAAGCAAGAGCAACTACAGCTTTGTCCCTCTGCTCTCAGTCCCTCTATGTCAGTTCCCTCAAGCATGGAAAAGGATCTGCCTCTTCGTCTTAGTTGCAGTTAATTTGATTGCCTGCTGTTTGTGTTAGACTGACCTATAGTAGGATGCCACAGACTGTAGTGCTATTTCACATGTGTTTGTTTGGCTAGAAAATCTACCCAGGAGTTTCCTGAGTGCCTGCTGCAATATAACCTGGTATTTTGGACTCTAGAAATGCCTGTGAACTCCTCAGATCGCTTCTTCCCACTGATGAAGTATTGTTTTGAGATCCATCTGGTGTCAAGTGTAGGCATATGGCACCAGTATGGCAGCACTGCCTACGGGGGTGGTTTCCTGCAGAAGAGGTCTTGCTGAATGCAGTAGTCATTGCCTATTGAAAGTCATTATTGTTTAACACCCAGGTCTTTGTGAACTTGTTCAACTGGTGGCTGGGCAGGGTGCCATCCAAATCTACGGCCATGAGCACAGACAGCTGAGTCTCTGGGGCCCTGCACACATCAGATGTGGGTACTGAGGTCAGGCATCTCAGAAAGGAGAATCTAAATGACTGTCTGTCCTGAGCATGTGTATCTGTGGTTGAAGGGATATGCCATCATTAATCCAAATCTGGGTTGGATTAAGCTTCCAAAATAAAAACCAGCTCTGCCAGCCACCTGCAGAGGGCTCGGGGCCTGTTGGGATGGAGCGCATGGGTGGGAGGGAGGCCGGGGCCGCTGGGCGAAGCCGCCCCCCTCACCCCACAGCCCTTCCCTCCGCAGGGGCCGAGCGACCTGGCAGCTGCTGGAGCGAGTCCCGGGGGTGCTGCCCTCATCCCTTCCACTGCAGGGCTCCCCAGGGGCTGGGCAGAACTTCTGTTGCTGAGGCCAGCCCTCTCCTCACCATGACAAGAGCACAGACATTTCATGCTTTGTTTCTTAATTACATTTTCAGCGCAGTTCTTGTAACTGCCGGGAGCAGAAGCTTCAGCATTTGGGAAGCAGGATTGCCTGTTTGACAGGCAAAAATCCCAGATTGACCAGCCTGGGCCTGGCTCTCCCTTTTGCCTGGGCAGGGCTCCCACCTGGAGCTAATTCGGGCTCACTCCTCTGGCTCTTTGAGAGCCACTTACCTTTGCAGACAGGCAGAGTGTGCATGGGGGGCGAGGCAGCAGCACCCAGTGGTGGCACCTGCCAGAAATCCACCACCAAGACACAGGAGCAGAAAATCAGAGTGGAAAATCACAGAGGCAGAAGTACCAGAAATAATTTAGTAAGGTGGCTGAGAAAGTTAAATCTAGTAGACTGTGTTTCCATAGAGGGAGAAAACTAAGCTAAAGAGAATAATGAAATTATTCACTGCATAGAGCAACTCAGAGACATGAAAGTGACTAAACTGCTGTTTGCCTGTCTCTTGCGAGTCTGGACAACTTGCAGACACAGATGCTCCGTGGAACCCATGAAAAAGAAAATGCTG